AAGCCTAGATAAAATTTCCAAGCAGACAGCAATACAAGAGAGGGAACTCTGACAACAAGGGAGGGGGCCTTCTCAGTGATATGCACCCAGTTATGGAAAGCTCTCCTCACTGATGTATACAGAGCACCACTATTGCCATTTTTTCAGCACTAGATTAAGAGTGTTCTCTTCACCCACGCATTGAATGGCATATACTGGGACAGTTCTACCAGTTGTTTCTATCAGGTAACTGTTTGCTGTTTTTTTTTAATGTATAGTAGAGATTTTATATTATGCTTTTATTATCTTGTGATGTGTATTTTTGTGAACCACCCAGAAAGCATCAACTGTTGCCAATATAATAGTAATTCCAGTGCACGTAACCACTGCTTGTTGCTTTTCAGGAAAGTACCACCTTAAGCTTGTGAGGATGTATGTGCTTTAGGCTGTAATCCTATACCCCCTTACCTAGGAGTAAGCCCCACTAAAGTCACTGGGGCTTCCTTCTGATTAGACATGAATAAGATTGCAATGAGAAATAAACATTTTTATAAAAGGCAGGATAAAGGAATTTGAAGGGGGAATATGAAAAAATGAGAGCATACAATGCACAAAAGGCAGCTCTATATACATGATTGAATGATTTCTTACCAATAATGCAAGATAAACATGATACTTGCAAATAACAGCAATTGTACTGATTAGTACACAAAGGCTACTAGACTGATACTGTTTTACTATCACAGATTAAAATCCTTGATTGGCCTGCAATCTTGAATTCAAAGTTTGGAACAAATGTACTGTTTACCTTTCTTTTAATTCTATTATGTGCCATTGTCTCTGACTTATGGTACCCCCATGTTTGAAAGCCTTCCAGAATGTCTTATTCATGACAGCCAGCTCAGCTTTTATAAATTCAAGGCTGTGGCTTGCTTTATGGAGTCAATCCATCTTATATTCGGCCTTTCTTTTCTTCTTCTGCCTTTGACTTAACCCTAGCATGATTGTCCTTTCCAGTGAGTCTTACCTTCTCATGATGTACCCTAATACGACAGCCTCCATGTTGCCATTTTTGCTTCTAGGGAAAATTCTGGAGTGATCTCAACTATGGCCCACTTGTTTATCTTTCTGGAAATGCAAGGTATTTGCAAAACTCTCCTCCAGCACCACATTCCTGTCAGGTTTCTTCACTGTCCAACTTTTACACCCATGCATAATAATCAGGAATCCAATAGTATGGATGATCCTTGCCTTGGTCTACATGCAACCTCCTTACACTTGATTTTTTTTCTAGTTCTTTCAGTACTGCCCTTCCAAGTCTCAGTCTTCTTGGCGGCAATCTTAATTGCAACCAGTGACTGAGCCAAGGTATGAAAAAGCTTTCACAATTTTAATTACTTAATTTTCTGACCTTCAAGTTGTTTAATTCTTCTGTACTCATGATTTTTGTTTTCTTAATATTCAGTTGCAGTCCTGTTTTTGCACTTTCTTTTTTGCACTTTCATCAAAAGTTGTTTCTGTCATTGCAGCTTTCTGCCAGTAATATAGTATCATCTATATATCTTAAATTATTGGTGACTCTTCCATCAATTTTCACTCCTTTCTCTGACCCTAAACCCAGCTTTCCTTATGATATGTTCTGCATACAGATTAAATAAATAAGGAAATAAAATATACCCGTGTTTGATGCCTTTGCCTATAGGAAATCAATTCTTTAATTACCCTTCTTTAATTATTTAATATGTTTATCCTGTTTTCTTTCAAGTGGCATGCTTCTCCCACTCTTGCTTTATTCTAATAAGTACCCAATGAGGCTGAGAGATTGCAATTTGCCTATGGCCACCCAAATTAGAGAACTGAAATGGCATCTTCCATCCAGTTGCTATTCACTGTATAGCCCTGGATACCACAGTGAAGATAAGGCTGCAATTTTACCTTCACTGCAAGAATGCCTCACTGATTCATAGGAACTTTTCCAACAAAGCACATATATATATATGAATGGTGATTAAGCTAAGGGATAAGTAATCCATATGAAAGTTTACTGAGGATCAATTCAGCAAATATACTGAACTGCCTGAAAGCAGGAGACAGAAATAAAATGAATGTCAGAAATAATCAGCCAGGGATTGCTACAGAGAGAGAGAGAGAGCGTACTACTCTGATATCATTAGATAGGACATATTATTTCTTTATTTCTTATTGATCTGTGTTGGACAACATCTTCTTGAGTCAAGCAGTAACTAGACAAGGCAACAGCCTGCCACCCCAGATGTTAGGATATGGGTGAGTTGCCCATGCTATTCACCTAGGATCTTAAGGGAATTGGGTTTCTGACATGATCAAATATTCTGATATCTCCCTGGTTATCTAGAAAGCGTATGTTTAAGCAAAATTTTAAAATGCATAAATAATGGTGCATTTTTTGGGGTACAGATGC